CCCCGTTGTGGAAGACGATATCCGCTCTCCATCCTTCAAGCTGCTGCAAGCTTTCTTTTTCGCTGAGGAGATCGACCGGGAACCCGGGAGCCCGGGAACCCAGAAACCACCGAAATCGGCCCGGAACCAATAAGCGGGAACCCGGGAACCCGGAACCGGGAACCCGGGAACCCAACCTGCTACCCAAATCGGCGGGAAATTTCGCCAAATCTTTCAACTTCTGCTAGGACTCTTTCAGTGCAAGCACTGATTGGGGGAAAAAAGGTGCGTGGTAGCAAGGCGAGAGTCCCCTGTTTTGAAATCGGCTCATCCTGCTTCCAGGAGCTGTGCGTATATAGAAGCGAGTGTGTGCGGCGCTGTGCCGAGAGGAGCCACGCTCCATTCATAAAGGTGTGGTGGTGTCTGAGAAGCGGATACGTGCGTCGCGAAGGCGAGCCACAACTTGACAACGATCCATGCTACATCCTTGAACCTGTTGCGAACTTCTACAGCAATTTAGCGCGGCGCTCAGACGAACGCCCCTTTTTGAAAGTGTCCCGCCCTCCATCCGTGAAGCCTTTTGCAACTTCCGAGCTTCGGGGTCATCAATGCTGAGGAAGTCTCAGGCGAAGCGCGTTGCCCGTCCTACCGAAACGTCTGGGGGTGCGACAGGGGGGAGTTATTTTGAAAAAAGGCGGAGGAGGAAACGGTGGACACGAGGAGAGGAACGGGGACGAGGAGGAGTAGGGAGGAGGGAGCAGCAGGAGGAGGAGGAGGAGGAGGAGGAGGAGGAGTTCGCTTGATGGGTCGGAGGGTGGAATGCGGAGGACGAGGAGAGGAGCTCCTCCCTCCTCCGACCTGCTCCCTCCTCCGCCCCGCTCCAAGAGAAGTGGGGGGGGAGGAGGAGGGATGGCGCGTCTTCGATCGTGTCCGCGATGGCGCGGCCGCTGGTGCCCCTGGACGGGTCCGTCGCGGAGGCGGGCCGGGACACGTGGATGGGGGTGGTCTCTCCTGGTGCCGGCGGCGGGGGTTCGGGGGTGGGAGGGGAGGGGAGGACTTGGACTTCGCGTCGCCAAGAAGGGCAGCCCTGCTGCCAGCCATTACGAAGCATCGAATCTATCACCCCTGAGGGGGGAGGGATGCATGAGGTGAAGGAGGCAGCGGAGGCGGAGATGGAGGATGCAGAGGAGGCGGGAGGAGGGGGGGGTGAGGAGGGGTGTGGGAGAAGGTAGTGGAGATGAATAGGGGGAGGGCTGAGGCCCCTCTCCCGCCCCCCCCCTCCTCACTTGTTCACTGCTCCGAAGCTTTCTGCGGCTCCTCCTCCTGCTCCCCCGCCCTGAGCTCACGCCTCTCGCGTTTCGTTCCGTCCTCTTCCCCCTCCCCCATCGTATCCACCACCGCCTCCTCATACTGAGGGAGGGAGGGATCGATTGTTGTATCTGATCCCGCTGTTAACAAGTCATCCAGACAGGTCTATGTGACCACGACCGCCCGCTTCGTGCGCAGCGCAGGAGGCCCTCCCCTTGCTTCTACTCACGTGCCACTGCTGAGTGGCCTGGTCATGCGCCTCGCTCGGATGGAAAGAGGGAGGAGATTGAGAAGGATGGAAGAGGAAACAAACATCCAGGACCCCCCCAAACTGCTACATCCCCCGTAAAACCTCCGAGCACTATCTAAAACCTTCCTCCTCCTCCTCCCACTTTGGCTTTCCCTTCGCCCCCCGCTCCACCTACCCTTCCACCTCCACCTCCACCTCTCTCTTCTCTTGTCTCTGCGTCCTCTTCCCGCTCCTCCTTCTACCCCTCCCCGATCCCCCTCCTCTGGCGGCAACCGACCTTTGTCTCGGCCCACCGAACTGAGAGTGACTGCCTGATGGCCACGACTTCAGCTGGGCACATCGGCGGTCGGGCCACCTTTCGCAGACAGACTGGAGGTTGAGGAGGACGAGGAGTAGGATGAGGAGGTAGCAGAGCAACAAGGCTGAAACTTTTGAAGGAAATCGTGGGCAAATTCTCCGACGTTTTCGGCAGTATCCGGACGTTTCCAGGGATTCCGACATGGGGGAGAAGGTTATAAACATCCCACGGATGCCGCAGCACACTTTTAGAGGGCTCCCAAATGGGATCCGAGTAGGTGTGGTCGGAGGATCGCACCGCATCGCCGATGTATTGGGGATGCATCGGCGATGCATCGGGGCAATCGACGTAGAGAAAATCGGGCTTCACATCGAACCGCACCCCCGATACATCGGCGAAGCGGCGCGATCCTCCGAACCCGTCAACTCCAACCCCATCAGGGAGTACTATAGCGCAGACCACTGATGCTGCAACAACTTTTGCGGTCCTCAAGCTCTCCCCCCTTTCATCACAGAAGAAGGGCTGTAATCATGACTGAACCCTCTCCGCCGTCGGGGACGCCTGTCCCAGGAACGTTCATGCCCCGACGCGCCACCTACGGGATGTAAACGTTCCACCTGCCCTGGGGCAGGCAGGCGTCCCCGACGGCGGGACAGTTTGTGTTATGCCGCTCTTCCTCCGCCGAACCTAATGGTGCTCCTGCCCACGGCCCCGCCGGAGGTCGGGGGCACGGGGGAGGGCCGCAAGAGTCAGGAGCCCGAGTGGGGGCAGCCTGCGTGCAGCCAAACCGGATCAGAAGGCCGCGCGGTAAGGACGCAGGGGCCCTGGACGTGCAAGCCGAGCTGCCCTGAGATCTTGGAGTTGCAATTTTTCACAACGGGCGTTTTCGCCCAGTCTCGGGCCTGGGGACCACCCTCACAGATCGATCCAGCTCGAAAAATGACGCAGAAATGTGGGGTCCAGGAATCTGGTCGTGATTTTTTGTGCGATGTTGCCATTCTTCCCCGACGTCGGATCTCAGGGTGTCCGAGCGGCGCTAGACGGGCCGAAGAGGCTGGCGAATGGCAAAGGCGAGGAGGTCAGGTGAGCATGGGGGAGGCGGGTCCTGAGGGGCACGGGTCCTGGACCCTGGACCTTACCCCAGGACCAATTCTTCATCCTGAATCGCTTTCTGGCGGTCCCGGGGCCCGTGGATGGCCCTGGGAGACCAGAAACGGCGAAAAAACCGTGGGACACGCTGCTTCCCCTACGGCGACGAACGAACGGCAGAGACGAGGACGTCAGAGCACCCCTGGATAACGACTTGTCCTCACGATGCGGCTGGACTGGGCACCTTGCAGCACCGGTGCTGGGGCAGGGCGCTGCCCGAGAGGACCGGCCCGAGGTCTGGGGCCGAGGGAGGGCTGGCAGAGCCGGGAGCCCGAGTGGGGAAAGCCGGTGTTCAGTCATGGTGCTACAACTGTCGGCCATACGCAAGAATGACCCGAGGCAGGAGTGGCCTTTGGTGCGCGGAGCAGGGGGCGCAAAGTGGCCAAATCCAAGCGCGCAAACAGCCGCTGCCGCATCGCGCTGAGCGATCGGGGGGGCCACGATGAGCCCGCACCAAAGGTCACTTTGGCGAAGGGTCACTCTTACGTGCAATCAGCCTAAATTGCGGACGTGTAATTCGCCGAAATTGCAGCGGAAGCGGACGGGGGGAGGGGGAGCCGGAGGGGGAGAGGAGAAGGGAAGCACTGGGAGGAGGGAGCACGTGGAGAGAGACGCGGCGAGGAGGAGGGAGCCGCAGGCAGAGGCCGAGGGGGCCGGGGATCTGGGGGCGAGGCGCAGGAGCAAAGCGGGAAGGCGAGGCCGGGCGGCGAGGAGGCTGCCGAGCGTGCGTGCCCAGTGCCCCGAGCTGCCCCGCCGCCAGCGCTCGGCACCGGGGCCCCACCCCCAGAGGTCTGGGCCCCTTCCCCGGGACGGGTATTGCGTTCCTCCTTCCTCCTTCCTCCCTCCTCCTCCTCCTCCTCCGGTCCCGAGGCCCAGCAAGGGTCCCGGGAGGCCGAACAGACCGAGACCCCTCTACGTCTTGTTTTTGTTCACAGCGCGAGAGGAGGTCTGGGCCCTAGGCCCCCTCCTGCGCCCTCCGGCGGCGCTCGGCGCGACGCTCGGCGCTCCAGAGGTCCAGGAAGCCCAGCCGGCAGGGCAGCAGGGCCCACGTGGGGAACCAGAGGGCGAAGGAGTAGGCCTTCCCCCTGGCCAGCGGCCCGACGGCCTCCCGCCACGAGAGGTTTCCCAGGAGCAGTCTGGACAGGATCGCGGACAGCACGACAGCGGCGGCCACCAGGCAGAAGAGGCAGCGCTTCAGCCCCTGCATGCACGGGCGGCAGAACGGGCACCACTTGCACCTGGTCTCCGCGACCGTGGCCTGGTACATGATCGCGCCGAAGATGATATCCGGAATCGTGATGAAGAAGAATATCGACGTCTTGTCCCAGAGGAGGCTGTCATGGCTGTTGCGCTCCGCCAGCCAGGCTGCGGGCATCGCGTTCAGCGCGAGTGACAGTGTCATCATCAGCAGCCTGTCCTTCTTGGACCATGGATGGTTCGGGTGAGCGAGCAGTATGCCCAGGGCAGGATGCCACTGCGCTACGAAGAAGACGTAGTCCTGGCAGAAGTGGCCGCTCCAGTAGTAGCTGTTTGCGAGGTCCCACTTGAGCCGCTCGATGAAGGCGCAGTCCGGAGGCTCTCCATCCACGCAGCCGTACTTCATCTGACCTTCCTTGCCGTCGGGGTCGGGATACTCGGCGTAGCCCTTCTTGTACTGCTCCCTGGCCCTCTCGAGCGCCTGCCGGGCACGGGAGGGGGCCGCGAAGCCCGCGGCGCCCGGCTCGGGGCCCGACTCCTCGGCCGAAGAGGTCGAGCCGGAGCTGGAGCCCGTGCTGCCCTCCCCGTCCTCCGAGGACGCGCTCCCGGCAACCCCGCGCAGCGCCTGCCACCACACCGCCATGGCCGACACCAGGGCTCGAGCTGAACAGCGGGGTTTTCGCTTGCGTCCTGTGCTCGCTTGCCCTTCGCTCTGCCTCTGCTGCGCGACGAGCTCGAAGCGCACAAAAACGGCCCACGAAGCCGCCCGAGCACCGTGCAGCTCGAGCCCTGGCCGACGAGGCCCGCGCTCAGGGCCCGCTCGAGCCGGGCAGCCTACACGGACCCTGAGAGCCGGGCGTCTCGATCCCACCAGCCCATTCGTGGGGGGGGGCACGAAAGGGCAGGATAGCAAATGACGGGATAGAGAGTCAGCTCACGTAGCTGGTTTTCCTGGTGCCTCCTGGCGCCAGGAGGCGTCCATGTACCGAGGAAAGGCGCCTGGCAGCGGAGCGGAAACCAGCTGCATGCAGCAGATTTCGCCCCCCCCCCCCCCCCCTTTCCCGATCCCCTCCTTTCGTCCGGCCCGACCATTGGGGCTCAGGTGGTCTGGCGATATCGCTCTTTCCTCCTCCAGAACCCTCTTGCCTTCGGGGAGAGGTACACTCCCCCCCCCCCAACAGTTTTTTTTTTTGGGGGGGGGGGGGGGCGCGATCGGTCAGAGCGCCCAACATGGCTCCAAGAGGGCCTCCGATGCTCCAGGATGGCCTCTCCAAGATGGCTCAAAATAGCCGGCGATGCTTCAAGATAGCTTCCGACATACCTCCAAGAGGCTCGACGAGGGCCACATGACTGTTCTAAGTGCTCTCGGAGACCCCTCAAGACCCCGCCAAGAAGCCCCCATCATTCAAAACCTAAAGGTAATACATGCTGCGATCTTGAAGCCTCGAGATGGCCCAAGAGAGGCCCAAGAGGGGCCCAAGAGGTCCCCCAGACGGCCCCAAGAGCGCCCACGAGCGGCCCAGGAGTGTCCCAAGAGGGCCCCAAGAGGTGATTTTGATGGCCCCCAGGGGGAGGGGGTAACATCGGGACACCCCCCCTTTGATCGATAGCCTCCAAGATGGCCCGAAGAGGCCCTCCAGAGCTCCCAAGAAAGCCCCAAGAGAGCCTCAAGAGGGTCGCAAGAGGGCCCCAAGACGGCCCAAAGAGCGCCCAAGAGCGCTCCAAGAGCGTCCCACAAGGGCCCTACGAGGCGACTTGCCTCGCCGTTTGTGCGAGCAATGGCGCAGGCAGTGGCGCCGCGACGCCTCTGAGAGTCTGGTCGTGCACTCAGGCGCCCTCACACCACATCAGTCAGCAAGGCTGACTGCCGATGGGGCGCGAGCTGCAGCAACAACGCACGGCCAACATCTCTCGGGTCCGCACGCGTTCGCAGGCTGATTTCTGCAATCGTGCCACTCGCTCTCTCGAGATGCGCACGCGCATGCAAGCGCGGGCGAGCCCGCTCATGTGTGCCAAGACGCGCGCGCTTTGCCAACGAAAGAACCACCACACTTGTTTCAACTGCCTCGCACATCGGCCCTGCCCGGACAATGTCCTTCGCTGAGGCAGCCGTCGCAAGCCTGGTCCGCGATCCACTCCGCCATGTCGTGGCAAACATCGGTGGCCCCGCCGTCCGCAGGCTCTATGGACTCCAAGATGGTGCTGGGATGAGAGCCTCGCCGCGGATGGCCCCGGGGGGTGCGCGGAGCGGAGACTCAATCCAACCCCGAACCCATGACAGAAAAGATGGGGGCCATTTAAGACACTGCCGATCTCTGTGAACCTTTCTGACGTCAACGACCACTTGCGAGCCATCTCGTGAAACCGTCACGACCACTGAGTGTTTCCATTTTACGCCTGTGCTTCTGCAACAGCGTCGTCAGGAGCGATCCAGACACCATTGACAAGCTCGAGGACGGACACTGAATCAAACGCAACAACAAGGATCGGGGACACCCCGCTGCAGTGTGCCAGCAGAGCACCACTGGTCACGCCCAGGGGCCGCTTGTAGAGGTGAAAGAGGCAATACGGATAGTGGAAATGTTTATGGTGGCGGTGACGATTGAAAATGCGACGATAGTGATGATGCCAATTGTGTTGATTACGAGAACTGTGTCGTACGGGTGGGCGACTATGACACTGATGGTGGTGTTGGCAATGATGATGGGGACCACGTGATGGTGATGCGGCTGCTGATGCTGACGACGAGGACGATGGCGGTGATGACGATTGCTAAGATTTGAAGGCATTCGTCTTGTGAGCTCACGCATCCTGACCCCTGGTGCGCGAGGGAATGGGGCCGGCAACCGCGCTTCCTGCACCGTTTCCGGCGGATCCGAAAGTTCTGGCGGATCGGGCGCTGCGTCCCAGAGCGGCGGTTCTTGCTCGGGACATTATCACGCCCCGAGTGGTGTCCAGGGGAGGGGAGACGAGCGCCTCCTGCACCGTTGCCGGCGGATCCGAAGGTTCTGCCGCGGATGCGGCGCCGAGTCCCAAACCTGCGGCTTCACACCGGACATCCTCACAAACTCGGCCTCCACGCCTCCAAGAAGGACCCAGGCGGGTGGAGAGGAGGGGAGGGTGGGCAAGACATCGGAGGGGCAGGGCGGGACAGGGGCGCAATCTATACACAAGATGGAAGGAAAAGAGGGGGCGCCGAAGGGTCTTGCACCGTCCCTGGGTGCGCGGCCGACGCGAGGTTTCGCAGTGCGGCGTTTCTTATGTTTGAATTCTCGCCTGCGAAGATACACGTCGTTCATTCTAACCGTGCTCATTTCCAATTGTGCTCGTTTCTAATTGTTCCTGGCCCCCTGGTGGCCAGGAAGAGGCCCAGGACAGAACACTTAGAAATGAAAGGATCCTGGCCCCTCAAAAAATCAATGAACTTTCGAATACTTAAACATGAGCAGGGCTCCGCCGAGGGCTCCAGTAGCAGGGTTCGCATGCGGTTCCACCAGCTCATTTCGGCGCACCCCTCACGCGCTTCGTGGCCCCATAGGGAGCTCCACCGAAGGCCCCAGTGGCGAGGTTCGCATGCGGTTCCACACCCTTTTCGGCCCACCCCTCACACGTTTCGTGGCCCCATAGGGAGCTCGACCGAGGGCGCCAACGGCCAGGTTCGCATGCGGTTCCACCTCCATTTCGGCACACCCCTCACACGTTTCGTGGCCCCATAAGGAGCTCGACCGAAGGCCCCAATGATAGGGTTCGCATGCCGTTCTACCTCCAATCTCGGCACACCCCTCACACGTTTCGTGGCCCCACGGGGATCTCCGCCGAAGGCCCCAGCGGCAGGGTTCGCATGTGGTTCCACCCCCAATTTCGGTTGCATGTGGTTCCACCCCCATCTCGGCACCCCACTCACACGCTTCGTGGCCCCATAGGGAGCTCCGCCGAAGGCCCCAGTGGCAGGGTTCGCATGCGTTTCCACCCCCATTTCGGCACACCCCTCGCACGTATCATGGCCCCATGGGGAGCTCCGCCGAAGGCCCGACCGGCATGGTTCGCATGCGGTTGCACCCCCATTTCGGCACGCCGCTCGCACGTTTCATGCCCCCACAGGGAGCTCGACCGAAGGCCCCAGTGGCAGGGTTCGCATGCGGTTGCACCCCATTTTCGGTAGCATGCGGTTCCAACCCCACCTCGGCATCCCCCTCACACGTTTCGTGGCCCCATAGTGATCTCCGCCGAAGGCCCCAGTGGCAACGTTAGCATGCGGTTCCGCCCGCATTTCGGCACCCCCCTGACACGCTGCGTGGCCCCATAAGGAGCTCCGCCGAAGGCCCTAGTGGCAGGGTTCGTATGGTTTTCCAACCCAATTGCGGCACACCCCTCGCACGTTTCATGGCCCTCTCGGAAGCTCAACCGAAGGCCTCAGTGGCAAGGTTCGCATGCGGCTCCACCCCCATGTCGGCACACTGCTCGCACGTTTCGTGGCCCCAGCAGGGAGCTCCACCGAAGGGCCCAGTGGCAAGGTTCGCATGCGGTTCCAACCCCCATTTCGGCACACCCCTCATACGTTTCGTGGCCCCATAGGGAGCTCCGCCGAAGGCCCAACTGGCAGGGTCCGCATGCGATTGCGCACCAATTTCGGCACACCACTCGCGCGTATCACGGCCCCACAGGGAGCTCCACCGAAGGCCCCAATGACAAGGTTCGCATGCGATTCCACCCTCATTTCGGCACAATCGCACACGTTTCGTGGCCCTCTTGGGAAGCTCCACCGAAGGCCCCAGCGGCAGGGTTCGCATGCGGTTCTACCCCCATGTCGGCACCCTCCTCACACGCGTCGTGGCCCCACAGGGAGCTCCGCCGAAGGCCCCAGTGGCAGGGCTCGCATGCGGTCCCACCCCCATTTCGGCACACCCCTCACACGTTTCGTGGCCCTCTAGGGAGCTCCGCCGAAGGCCCCAGTGGTAGGGTTCGCATGCGGTTCCATCCCCATTTCGGCACACCCCTCACACGTTTCGTGACCCCATAGGGAGCTCCGCCGAATGCCCCACTGGCAGGGTTCGCATGCGGTTGCACCCAAATTGGGATACATCTCTCAGACGCTTCGTGGCCCCATAGGGAGCTCCACCGAAGACGATGCTCACGACTGCGGCACTCACAACTGCATGTGGTTGGGTCCTTCGCCAGGCTAATTTTTCTCCCTGCTCGCATTTGGTGCTGGCGTCTCCTCAAAGGGAGGGGCTCGCACGCCGAACACTCGCCAAGAGGGCGGGGGGAGGAGGAAGAAGACGACCGTAGAGGAGGAGGAGGAGGAGGAGGAGGAGGAGGAGGAGGAGGAGGAGGAGGAGGAGGAGGAGGAGCAAGAGGAGGAGGAGAGGAGGAGAAGGAGGAGGAGGAGGAGGAAGAAGAGGAGGAGGAGGAGGAGGAGGGGGAGGAGGCGCCGCCTCGGCAAGCTGCCCCGCGACTGCGGGGGGTCCAGAATGTCTTCCCCGAACTGTCCGTGGAGAGTCGGTCAGCCAGTCAGTGGAGGAGGAGCAGCAGGAGGAGGAGGAAGAGGAGGAGGAGGAGGAGGGGGAAGAGGAGGAGGAAGAGGAGGAGTCAGCCGGTCAGTCAGTCAGTCACTCGGCGGCAAGCGGAATTGCGCTCGGCCCGAAAAGAAATCAGGTCCAGATGCAGCGCGTTCTCAGACAACCGATCAGCCAACCTCCTCCTCCTCCTCCTCCTCCTCCTCCTCGTCCGTCTCCTCGTGGCCGCAAAAGTGGCGCCTCCAGGTTCTGCGCTCACGCCGGTGACCTTCGACGCCGCCATTGATGCGGATGCTCGGGGTC